TTTGATCCATGTGTCCCTGTCTGTCCCCTTTCCCTCTGAAGTTACAATGTAACAGCACCTTTGCCCCCTCCACAGTTTGAGTGGGGGAGAGGAAACTATGTTTGGAATCTCACTTCATTGTAACCTTGCCTTGGTTTTGGTTCTGGGTGTGTCTGTCTCCTCCTCAGTAACAGCGACCGACTGGTTTCATTTCACACTTAGTCCCTGCAGGGACTTGGAGCGCAGGGAGTCCTAGAGCTGAAGGCTCTCACATCGCTTGGGTTTGCTCATCTGTTCCCCAAGCCCAAACGTGGGCCTTACAGCAGATTCTGGGAACTCCTCATGCTCACTCTCTCCTTACCTACTTCCCTCCCAAACAAGAGAAAGAGACATTGTTTTTTTTGTTTTGTTTTAAATAAGTCACGCTGTCTTGGTGGCATTTGGGTTTGATCCGTCAGTGGTCGGGGTGCCCTGATGAAGTCATTAGCAGTTACTGCCCCGGGTGCTGTGCTGAGGAGGATTGTCAAATGGACTCTGAGCCCATTCCTCCCTCCTGCCATCTTGTTGGATGAAACATCATTTGAATTTCTTTTTTAAAAATCAGTTTCCTAACTGTGCCTAATATGGCCTTTTGAAAGAAAAAAAAAGTATCCATTTTGCCACCAACTACTTCGTTATGTCTTGAATAGAAGAAGGAAAACAAAACAAAAAAAAACCACTACCAAACCAAAGGTTGCTATTTTTGAGACGTCATGTGTTTATTGCACATGGCAGAAGACTGCACCTTCTTTCCCATAACATACGGTGTCATTTTTTTAAAGCCCTTCATTTTTTTAGGCCCATTATTAGGTTTGTGTTTTAGCAAAGTATATCTACCCGGTCATCCTGTCCATGCCAATGCAGAGGTCCTGTGAGGATTATATTCTCTATCCCTGTGGATGTAAAGACACTGGCATTTCTGTTACATTTCCTTTCCCTTTGCAAGGGTTTTAACTTTGGAATCTTCCAAAGGAAGTTTGGCCAATGCCAGATCTCCCAGAGTTGGGGTTTTCTTTTTGTTTCTTTCTTTGTTTTAAATCGAAATTGTGTCTGGTTCCTATTCACACTACTGATTGTTCTGATCACAGAGATGAACACGTTTCTCCCCTGTATGAAAATAAGCATCCTTTATGGTGAAACCTGTCTTTTCTGGTAGACACTGAAGCCACTGAAAATAAAGAAACAGCTAGAAGCACAGGAGAGTCCCAGACTGAGTTCTCCTTTGAGAGGCTTCGGAAGTGATCCCTGGGGTCTGGATCCTTTCCATGGGGTTATGCCATTTTATTCAAGCTTGTCGTCCGTGTGTATCTCCACAATTCAAGCAAAACGACAGCCAGTACATGAGGGGTTAGCTTGACAAAGTAGACTACCTTGTGTTGATTTTTAATTTTTTTTCTTACTATATCTGTCTACAGGCAGATACAGATAGATGTTTGGAAATGTGCTTGCCTGTAAAATTTGCATTTATAAATGTGTTGCCGATGGATCACTTGGGCCTGTACACATACCAATTAGCGTGACCACTTCCATCTTAAAAACAAATCTAAACAAAATTTATTATTATTATAATATATATATATATATATAAAGGACTGTGGGTTGTATACAAACTATTGCAAACACTTGTGCAAATCTGTCTTGATATAAAGGAAAAGCAAACGCTGTATAACATTACTACTTGAATGCCTCTGTGACTGATTTTTTTTTTCATTTTAAATATAAACTTTTTTGTGGAAAGTATGCTCAATGTTTTTTTCCCCTCCCCCGTTCCCTTGTAAATACATTTCGTTCTATGTGACTTGGTTTGGAAATAGTTAACTGGTACTGTAATTTGCATTAAATAAAAAGTAGGTTAGCCTGGAAATGAAATTACAATTCACAAGTGTGTGGTCCTTATTTCAGTGCCCACCCCTCCTCCTCCACCCCGCCCACTTTGCCATTGCAACATGTCGTCACGTCGCCATCTGCTCTCCCCTCACCGGGGAGACACGAATCCTTGTTAGAAAAGCCAAGATACGAACACACGCCTCGCATTCTTTGAAATGATCTTGCTTTGATGTGTAGACAGGAGGTGCAGCTTCCGGCTTGGAGACCCCTGGACTTAATGTAGAGGAAGTTTTGCAGACACTGTTTTGGAAAGAAAGATAATCTCCCTGAAAGGAACAGTTGTAAAAACATGTGTAAGCTGCTGTCCTTGGTTATTGTGTCCATGGTTTGGTTGTGACTGTATTTTCTTTTCACTTCCATCTTATTAGTGATGGTCTTTGGGAGTCTCTGTAAAACGTGACCACCATGGACAGTGGGTCTGTGTCACCCATATAACCAACACGTGTTTGAGTCTGCTCATTTCCAATACTGGATAATATATGTTAACATGTTATGTCTCTTAGTGCAAACAGAAACATTTTTTTAGGGCTGGCTCGTTGTCAGGCCTAAAGGTTAGAAATAAGGTCATGTGACTGCTGCTTCAATAAAGACAAATTTATATTCGATGAAGTGTGGTCTTTTATTTAGTGGGCTAGTTAAATTAACACTTCGAAGGAGCTCAATGTGCTGCTACCTGCCTGTAATTCCAGCACCGGCAGAAGGGGAGGAGAGGATTGGATCAGCAGTGGGGTGGTTTGGGTTTACTGCCATCTTGTTTAGGTCCTGTCTTGGCCATTTGGGGTGGAACTGAAGACCTGCCAGCTATTCCTTGAAATCATGAACAGTTGGTTCTTTATTTCTGAGGCCTTCCAAAAGGCAGCGCTGAATTGTAGGAGAGCAGCAGGGATGTCTTTCTGAGCATCTTGAGGTGTTAGAGTGCTGTGGCTATGGAAAAGAAAAGCAACCTGGGAGAAACGGAACTGCTTTGGAGACTGGTGAGCTATCTGGAGCTGGGGTTGCTGGTTAAGTGATGGCATGGGGGTGGGTGGGTTGGTTTTTAAATCTCTTTTTTTTTTCCAGAAAGCAAGGGCCACTCCTGGGCCTCCCACATGAAGATTTGTTATTCAGGTCAAGACTTTGGACACACGGACAGTGGCTCTTGAGTAATGGGAGAGCCAGAGGTATACAGTGGCTTGCAGATCTTTTCTCCCGCACTTTGGAAATGGACCATACCCCCTTGAGTGGGAAACCAGAAAAAGAACCATCGACGCCAAGATGCCTAGAGACCAGTGCTTGCTTCTACTTGTTCAGAAGTTCAGGGAGGGGGGTTGAAGAGGAAACCAGACATTGGAGAGCAAGAAAGTTGGATCTCTGAGTCTTAAAATTTAGCCATGGTTGCTAAGAGGATGTGTATCCTGTGTGCATTGTTTTGTGCTGCATATCTTGAACGTTAGGCCCTGTTGGCCCTCTTGAAATGAGTGCTTACTGTCTAATTCCTATGCCCTAATACCAGGTTAGTGTTTGAATCACTGCCTGGGTGTTTGAAAAATCAGCTGGGGATGAGGGGTATATTCTGTATTACTTATTAATCTTAACCTTACTTCTCCGAACCCACCCAGTCTAACCCCTGTTGGGTTTTTGAATGAGTAGCACACAGAGGTAACTTCCCAGAGGAAGGAAAGATGCATGTATGCTTTATGAATATAGTTGAATAGAATTTAGACTTCCAAGTGAGAAATATATTTCTAGTTATGACCAAGTCTTTAATTATTCCAAATTTCATGGAGTGAAACCTATATTCATAAATTGGCTGAGAAGGGCTCAATTTTTCTCTCCCAAACACAAATGCTTTCATTATCTCTTTGTGTAGAAATTGGGGGGTGAGGGTGATAGGGAACATGCTTACATTTTTGATTTGTGTTGATCTCATGCTATTGCAGTTTGGCTAGAGTTAAGTAATTACCTGTTCCTTAAAATTCAGTTACTTTCCGCTTCCTTTGCAACCGAATATTATCACACACTTCAAACTTCAGTTAGTACATTTTATATTACGATATGTATATATTTTTATATGTAATAAGCACAAAAGCTAATTAAGTGATTTTTGATGTTCTACCAGCAGATCATCGGGTTTATAAAGGGTAACCCTGAAACTGGTAGAGTGCAAAGGTGTATGCGTCGTTTTGTCTGGTTTTGGGGGTGAGGAGCTGTGTTTCGTGTTTTTGAGACCCTGTCTCACGTTGCCCAGACTGTTCTGTGTTCTTACCTCAGCCTCACCTTGGCTCTGTTTTTATTTCTGTTTTCTCATTCTCACATTTTTATTTTCTTCCCCCAGAAAAAAAAAATCCAAAAATAGGGACTGGAGAGATGGCTCAGCGGTTTAAGAGTACTTGCTTTTCCAGAGGACCCGAGTTCGGTTCCGAGCACCCACGGCAGGTGGCTCACAACCACCTGTAACTACAGCTCCAGGGGATGCAATGCCCTCTTCTGACCTCCTCAGGCACACACACACACACATACACACACACACACAAATAATAAATAAAATAAATCTTTTCAAAAATGTTTCAAAATTTCATTATTGAAATCCTCTTGTCTTGATCTGATGTTAAACCCAGGAGCATTCTTGCTTAGTTCTTAAGCATGAAACACCTCGTGGGAAAGTAAGGCCTACCTTTTGGAAAGACCCAAACAGTTCTACAAACTATTATAAATGAGGCACATCCTTCCTTACGCTTGAGCTTCGAGGATCCAGGTGTACTCGGGAGTTCAGTGTACATAGGTAATTCTGCTATCACACGTTTATTGTCTATACTGTAGCCTTGTCATAGATCACCCTGGTGTTCCAGTTTTGGGAGCAAGCCAGACCCCGGTCAGATTGGGAGCAGATGTCACGTCCAGGTCCCCACAGCCACAGTTCCCACCCCTTCCTCAATGAGCACCTGGCGTTTGGAACCTTCAGCTGTCTTCAGCCAGCCACAGGACCCCGGTGCCGCTCAGAACCCACATGAAGCTCCTTGACGATGTCACATGCCCTTTCTTTAGATACACATTAGCTGTTAGAAGTTTTTTTATAAACTATTAACAACCGTTTTAGCTTTGTCTTCTTGCTGAGGTTAGGATCCACATCTGAGTCCAGGCTGTATTGTATCATCCAGAGCAGGTCACGTTGTTGGTGATTCACTTGTGTTTGGTCAGGTGCGGGAACCTGAGTGATGTGTCCAGGACAAGGTCCTGGCAAGCTTCTGGCATTCAGCAGTGACATTAATGAACCCGATAGGGAGCTCAAGTCTGGAACACACAAACACTCAAGAGAAGGCTTGGGGTTGGGAATGTGTGGGGCGTGTACCCCCTTACATAGCTTGACCTGGTCCCTCCTTTCCCACCCAACACTTTAGAATTTAGTGGGATTTGGGGGTTTATTCCCAACCACTAGGATGGGGCTAACCTATAGGCCAGGACTTGCCACAGGCTGACCCTGGGGCTCCATGTCCTTTGCCTGAGGAATGAATGCTAGTCAGCTGCAGTCATAGGACGTTGTTGGCGCTCATATCAGTGTGTCCGTCTGCCTAGCCCTAGAAGTGACAATACCGAATGTCTGGATCTGGCTGGCCCGTGAGATCTCCACCCAGAGGCAGCCACTCAGCCATCTGTGCTGCTAAATAACTCCTGCATGAGGGGAGTGGCGAAGGGATGTGAGTCTTGGATACGAAGCAGCTGCTGGGTCTGCTGGGCATTGATACTGCGCAGCTCCGTGAGGACAGCCATAATCTTCAGGAACAGGAACCTGTAGGCAGCCAGAGAAGAAGCTTCAGCCCACCCCTCTCCATCCCACCAGACTGACCCTGTCCTGAGAGCACACAAATTCAATCTCGGAAAATCCGAGATCAGCCAAGCTGAGGATATTTTGAAACCCTTCAGCCTGTTCGTGAGAAGGCAAAAGCTGTAATCTACCCCTTCCCGCCCCACTACCACCAGCTTGACTCCTTGTACACAGAGACCCCTGTGTAAAGTTCAGACCTGCGGGTGCCAAATTCATAGGTTAATATGGAGGTGAGGGGAGTCATCATCTTGGTTAATGTCTTGACTGAGTTGTCATTGCAGCTAAGACCTGCAGACTGGAGTCCTTTCCCAGATCTCTCACTACATCTGACATCTGAACAACACACTTACTTTGGCTTCCCCATGATGGGTAAGGGAGCTAGCACCTCCAGCCTCCTTGCAGAAAGTAACCCAATAAATAAAGATGTAACCACCCCCCAGCATCCCGGGATACTGAACAGAAAAGAAAGCAAGTGCCAGCCAAGTGGTGAGCGGACCTTCGAGGCTGCACTGTAATACCCAAAGCTGGCCTTAATCTTCAAAGCCTTAGGATCGTTATCAGGTTTGTTGCTGTCTTCATGCCTGTGGACATGGGGCTGGGCACTAGGACACAGGAATCCAAGGACTGGCTTGGGAGCTCTTATCTATGCCAATCCCCAAGCAGGTTTTCTTGACAAGCTTGAGCTTCGACAATCTTCTAGCTGCCAGGCTCTAGCCCTCCACCCTGTGAATCCTGGGCATTGCCTTGGCTGCCTTGTAGCATGGTGTTGGTATCCACCTTAGGGGAGTGTTTGGAACATTACAGGTTATACTATACATAAAATTCTTGGCCCCGAGGCTGACACTTCCCAATCAACAGTAGCTAGTATAGATGCACTGCCATTATGAGTGGTATCACTTACAGTTATCATCATTGTGAATGCTACTGGTCTTTGCTAGACCCTACAGGAGAGACAGTAGAGTCAGGCTCTTCCCACACCTTGATGACAGAAATGTAGACAGCCCTGGGCAGACAAGTATCCCTCAGCTAGACTTGGGCTGGAAGTCTTAGTAGAGGTGACAAAACAGTCCCAGAGCCTTGGTCATCAGAAGCTACCCCAGGCATGGCAGGGGCTTGGAAACCAGGCCCAAAGTGAGGGGGCAAGAAGGCTCCCCCTCATTTCTGCCCCTCCCTCCTCATCCTCACCTGTGGGCAGGAGATGGCCGACTGTACTCAATGTAGGCCTTCAGGGTGAGGGCAAATCGCTCCTGCAGCTGATCCACCACACTGCGCTGTACCACGCCAGGACGGTCTGAGAGGGGGAAGGGAAGGCATTGTGGTGCCAGGCAGGGCAGAGAGAAGCAAAGGAAAGCTCAGTCCAGCCCAGGGTAAAGGAATTACTGGCCAACTACTTCAGACAGGAAAACAGCAGCCTCTACAGTCTGCCTGTGACGACTGAGACCTTCCCTGGGGAGGACAGACAGAGGGGCTGCCGCCTCCTGCAGATCGCTGGGGGAAGCCATCACCTGGGGAGAAGAGGGAGATGGCTTGCATCAGCACATACTCCTCCTTATGCAGCTGCAGCTTCTTCAGCATGTAGTGGAATTTTATCACCGGATCCAACAGAAGTTTCTGGAAGCCACCTGTGGGTGAGTATAGGGTAGACAGCCAGCACCTCAGGAACCTGACTCAAGAACTCAGGCTTCCCTCACCAAGCTCTTTTGCTCCATCACCCAGTCACCCTCAGCTGCTGTCTCCCTCCCTCCCTCTGCCAGGCGTCTCTTGGGCACCATCAGGGTCTTCGAAGCAGTAGGCCAGCCGACCGCACTCCCAGGTTCCAGTTTCTGTGTCGAACATCGTGTTGAACCTCAGTAGGCACATCTCAAAAGTGGCTCCCTTCAGCAGGGAAATCTGGTCCTCAATAGGCAGGTCCCTGGCAGCAAGGACAGGAGGTGATGACAACTCCTAGGTAGGCTGTCCACAGGCTGGCACCAGTCCCCATCTCATCGTCCAAAAGTTGGAGGAGAAAGAGGAAGGAGATGGAGCAGCCTCCTTCTGAGGATGCAGTTCCTTCCAGCTTGCCTCCAGCCTCTCCCCCTCCTAATCCAGGCCATCGGGTTACTTTGCCCACTGAGGTCTTCTCTGTACCTCCAGGAACTCTCCATGCTTCCTTAGCTTTGTGTCCAGGTCCCTTACAGCCTGGCCTGTCTTCTGTCACCCTACACAACCTCTGACCAACATTTAATGCCTTGGCTCTTCCTTGTTAGCCTCATGAGCTTTTGCCTGTTTGCCTACCTGAAATGATTGCCCCTTTAAGTAAATCCTGATGAGTTTTCAGGTCAAGTAGTGTCTTCCCTTCCCAGAATTGTTTCTAGAAAGCAGAATCCTTCTACACATGTCACACCTTGCACTGCAAATAGCTGCTACCTGATGTTGAATTTATTACATACATGTTCCTAACTGTTTCTCTGCAGTAATGAAGACCTTGTATTCCACTCCTATTATCTGTTCTCTGTCTGACAGTGTGCTCTTTGCATGTGTAATTCAGCCCTACTTGACCATACTGGGCAAGGAAAGGTGGAGGACCCAGGTGCAAATACACCTGGCATCACACACTACATTTTATGGAGTGGTGGTCTCCACCACGCCATCAGGTTCCAGGTTGTCTTGCTGACACCATTTGTCATGGTCATTACTTCCATGCCCAGCTCTAGGGAGAGGTGCTGGATTACAGCACCAGCCACCATCCCCATGGCCTGCTTGATGGCAGACAGCTGGAAACCCCACATCTCTCTTCCTCTATGGACTTCCTTCTTTTTCCTTCCAACTCAACTTTTAGTCTGAAAATGTCCAATCATGGTTTCTGTCCTTATGGGGGAAATAGGAAGGTCATTTGCCAACATTCTTCAGATTTTTTTTTTTTTCATTTCATCAGCCCTATGTGGTAGTTTGAATGTAATTGGCCCCTATAAGCTCATAGGGAGTGGCACTATTGGGAGGTGTGGCTTTGTTGGAGTGGGTGTGGCCTTGTTGGAAGAAGTGTGTCACTGTGGGGTCCAGCTTTGAGGTCTCCTATGCTCAGGATACAATCCAGTGTCTCAGTTCACTTCCAGTTGCCTAGGGCAAGATGTAAAACTCACAGCTACTTTTCCAGCACCATGTCTGCCTGCATGTCCCATGTGCATGATGATAATGGACTAAACCTCTGAACTGTAAGCCAGCCCCAATTAAATGTTTTCCTTTATAAGAGTGGCCATGGTCATGGTGTCTCTTTACAGCAATAGAAACCCTGACTAAGATACCCTACAAAGTCGATATGATCAGTTCCCATTCCAAAATGGGAAAGCTGACCAGCCCACAGCAACAAAACTAATGAACCATATAGGCTTTATTCTCCAGTAGCAATGGTCCCCCAGGGGCAGAGACAACATAGGGTCTTTGGACACCAGTTTCTCCCAAGTTCGTGGGGATTTCCTGCAGACTTCTTTGAAACTTTTGACCATTTCCTTTTCCTTTCTACATCCACTCACTCAGCCCTCAAGACCTACCTGAAGTAGGAGATGACTTTGGCGAAGTTGATGACACCCTTGAACATGTAGGTTGACAAATCAGCCAGGTGCGGCAGCAGAGGAATGATCTCTTTCCCGTCACTCTTGGATGGGGGTTGGTAGTTCCAGATGCTGCCATCTTCTCCCCGAAGCTTCAGAGAAATCTTCATTGGAACTGAATCTTGCATGATTTGACTCCACACGGCAGGGTCTTCCAACAGTGAGGTCTGCAGATAGTCTGGGAGCTCACAGCCACCGTTAAACACCGCAGGCAGCTGGGATAAAGGGCAGGAGGCAAAGAGAAGAAGGGCAGTGTGTTGTCATAGACAAGTCCCCACATAGGCTCCTGATGACCAGCTGCAGTCTAAGAAACATGATCATAGGCATGCACACACGTGCATCCATATATACATAGCCCATGTTTCTTCTCTCAGGCTATCTGATAGGTGGTGTTCTATGAAATAATAGTCACATTCCTACATGGAGTGTGAAGGGTGAGGGATGCCTTCTTGCCTAGTGTATCCTAAGCATCCCCCTGTTGTGCCCAGGAGACAGAGATAAGGGTTTGGAAGCTGTAGATCAGTGGTTCTCAACCTAGAGGTAGCATATCAGATATTTACATTGCGATTCATAACAGTAGCAAAATTAACAGGTATGAAGTAGTAATACAGTTATGAAGAAGTCAGGAGAAGGATTTTGAGATTTTTCCATTTCTGGCAAGTTCTCAGGGAATCCTGATGCAGACCACAGCCTGAGAGACCCTGGGAACACGACCCAGGCTTTGAGGAGCTAGCATAGCCATGGATGTGTGCACAGCTCTAAGCCCCTACCCGGAAATCCTTGAAGTGGGAGAAAGTGGTGTCAAAGGTTTTCAACTGGGCATCCATCAGCTCCTGGATCAGCGCCTGCTGTTCTTCGGTCAGCCCCTGCCCTCCAGACAGCGGAGCCTCGATCTTTTCCCTCTTCTTCCTCTTGATCAAGGCCCGCCTCTGCTCCACAGCGGCATCAGACATGATCACTGTGAGTTAACAGAGCAGGTTCAGCACATGTGCCCCTGCAGGGTCACACTCCCCCCAGCCTCCAGATGCCACCAGGACTGCAGTTATGAATGGGGCCAAAGGAACCATGCAGGGACAGCTAAAAAGAAAGAGAGGACACAGCCCTGGCCGGCATCTCCCACCACACTTCCTGTAGCAGAGAACTGGTGCCCTGTATCTCCGAAGTCCCACAGGGCCACAAATACATATGAGCTCAGTTGCTGTGGGGTGCAGATGCGCACCAGCGCCTCAGCTCTCTGTTGCCGGCCCCAGTCCACCGAGCCTGAGCCCCCTGCCCCGCGGCCACTCACTCTCCTTCTTCATGCCACTCTCTAGGCACTTGCGCAAACGGCAGGCTTGGCACTGCCGCCGTGTCTTCCGGTTGATCTCGCAGGTCCCCTTGCGGAAGGGGCACCTCAGCCGGACATTGCGTTTCATGGCCCTTCTGTGGGATGAGAAAGAACGTTAGGTAGTCTAAGAGGGGCACTCAGCTCTTGGGCCAGGCGCTACAGGCCATACCACCTGTCTCTCTGGCCCCTGGCTGCAGCAGACAGGACACACTAGGGATTTTACAGGACAGGTGTAGGTTGGCACTCCGCCCTGAAGTCCAGGGCTCAGAAGAGGAGGAAACCTCTGAGATGATTCTACAGAAAATGAGACGTGCTTTTCATGGGCACCTATAACCGTGGAGCCTCTTTCCAGGACAAGTCAACTGTAGGCTCAGGCTTTTCCCGAATCACCTCCCATCCTTCCTCATACCTTGTTATTAATGGTATCCATGGAGATGGGCTTCTAACTGGATTTCTCCTTGGAAGAGGGAGCCAGGGGAAACCTGCCACCTCCGTGCCTCCTCCCCACCCACTCTGCACCCAGCAGCTTCTGGACGTATACAGTCCTTCCCCTTCTCCAGCTCCCCTTTTAGTGGGTTCCGATTGGCCTGGGATGGGGAGGTTGGAAGTTCTGTAGACCAGACCCCAGGGTGGAGTTGGGGGTGGGGGTGGGGGTGGGGTGTCTGCTGAAAGGCCACCAGCCTTTGCAGGGAGGCAGCTGCAGGTGGGCAATAAGTGACGACCACTCTCTTTACAGCCAAGCCATCCTGAATTTCCCACCAAGGACTGCCATTGTTGGCTTACATGAATGTTTCCCTGCATTTCCACGTCTGGATGACCCAAGATTCCCTTGGCTCTGGCCTCTGTTCTGTCCAACAGTGTGGGAAATGAGAGAAACTGGCTTGGAACCATGGGAACAGAACAGGGGGATGCTGGGAGGCCTGGACTAAAGACTGAGCTCACTGTAACTGGCAGGGCTTGAGCTCGGAAGCGGCTCAGACCATCTGTCAGCCTAGGGTTATGTCCATGGGTATCATGCTCTCATATTTGCCTCTGCTGCAGACCTAGATCAGAGGCCCCTGATGCTGTCCCCAAATGCTCTAAGAACAGATAAAAGGACTGGTGTTCATCAGAAGCATGTTATATATCAGGTGCTGGGCTACTTGTTTTGTATAGTTTTAAAGACTTGGCTTTCAAAACCAACCCTGTGAAATTCATCTGTTACGTCCCCCCCAACCCCAGAACAGTGAAGGAGACTGATCATCACCTGTCCTCCAGGTAAGTGACAAGCTTTGGGTCCAAGTTTGCTTGATAAGAAGCCAAGTTTCCAATCAGTGATACCTCACCTCCCTCCTGATGTCCCAGGATGGCACCCAAATGGGGAGGATTCCCACCGCTGGGGCAGTCCCCATCGAAGCTGCTTGGACAGATTCTCTGGCTTGAAGAACCAGAACCTGCCTTCATGTGTGGGTTTGTGGTACATGCTCGACTTAGTGACTTAACTAGTGTTCTTTGCTTAGTGACTGATTCAGGAGCAGCCTGAAGCCAACTCTGGCATACATGATGTGACAGTGACTTCTGGGACAGATCCCCCCCCCCCTTGAATGAGCATCCTTTTTTATTGTCTGGGTATCCTAACACTGCTTTTCCAAGTGGATCCAGACTAAAATCAGAGCTCTTGTGTGAGCTGAAGAGAAACATGCAGACTCATCTGTTGTGGAATATTATTTTAAGGGGTGCTACTTTTGTTTACGTTGCATTTGTTTAACTCTGTGTTACTGTGCCTGTTTAAAACACCTGGTGGTCTAATAACTGAACGGTCAATAGCAAGGCAGGAGAAAGGATAGACAGGGCTGGCAGGCAGAGAGGATAAATACAAGGAGAAATCTGGGAGGAAAGAAGAAAGAGTGAGAGAGGAGGAGGACATCGGGGGCCAGCCACTCAGCTACACAGCAAGCAGCAGAGTGAAAATGGAAGGTACTCAGAAATAGAGAAAGATAAAAGCCCAGAGGCAAAAGGTAGATGGATAATTTAAGTTAAGGAAATCTGGCTAGAAACAAGCCAAGCTAAGGCCAGACATTTATAATTAAGGATAAGCCTCTGTGTGTGATTTATTTGGGAGCTAGGTGACAGGCTGCCCAAAAGAGTAAAGAGCAAAACAAGCAGCAACAGAAGAGACTCTGTTGTTGAGTTGCCTACAAGTTGTGCAGAGAAATACTGATAATGAAGCTTATCTGTATCATCCCCAGTGCCCAAATGGTGCTTTTTCAGTGATGTAGCTGCACAAATCACCCATGGACTTATAAATAATAGAAACCCATTGGTTCGCCAAGCTAGACTTGGGTAGAATAATTTCCTGGTGTATTGTTGACAGCCCATCTATAGTAAACAGATGTTTGTTGATGTCTCCTCAGGAAAAGTTACACAACATCTGTCTGTCTTGGGATGGCCTTGAGGTGAGACCTGCAAACCTTTTCCCTTCCTGAAGGCGAAGTGAAGCTCTTTCTTCACATCTTGCTTCCTGCCTTCCCTCCCACCTTGGATCTGAGTCCCCATGCTGAAGGTAGCTTTGCTGAGTCGTCACTGGTCTTTCTGTCCTTCATCTGGTGATGGTGACCCTTATGTCCAGACCTAACATGCTGTGAAGTATGATTTTTTTTCTCTTTTGCATGAGACTCTTTTAGTTTTTATCTATCTATCTGTCTATCTATCTATCATCTGTCTATTTATTTATTTATTTTGGTCTTTTTAAAAATATGCTTCAAGATGAAATTATCTTAGTTTTGATTTATTTTATGATGTCTTTTCCTTAACAACTACCATATGAGAGTGATTTAAAAACTTGCTTTTTCCTTTTTTTTTCCCTCTACTTTTTACTGTCCTTTTAACTCAAAAATACATAGAGGAACAAAGTGTTATCTTAATGGAAATGATCCTTCCCTGGGTAGTAGATGAAGGAAGACTTGAAGATGAGGTTTCTTCTGGAGTATATGTGTCTATCTTGGAGTATTTAGGAGGGCTTTGGGTGGACCATCAGCCCATTGAAATGACCCTAGGCATCAGTTCAAGCTGAGGCCTTGAGACATCACCCAACCACTTAATGGAAAAACCCAAGTTGAATGTGATCCAGTGTCAGTGCTGGCAAATGTGTGAAAACTGATGGGTCATCATACCTGAAAAATCCCTTGCATCCTTCACACGTCATGACGTTGAAGTGATAGCCATTGGCCTTGTCCCCACATACACGACAGACTTGCAGTCCGCCATCTTCCTCATCGACGTTGATGGCATGCTTTTCTGAGACAGAATCTGCTTCTTCACAGCGTACAAGGTCAACATGGCTCCAGCTTTCTTCGGGTCTCATCTCCAGGGTTACATCTGTATATCTTGGACTGGAACTAAAAAAACACAGGGAATGAAGGCTTTGTGCAGGGAGATACTGGGAACACCCTTCCTTTTGAGCAAGGCTCGCATTTGGATTTGATGCTGGACCCATAGGGAGGAAACGTGTAGGTGATTATTTGAATTGTTGTTATGAAAGGTGTAAACACTACATTTTTATACACAGTAGGGGCCCTAGGAAGAACACTTAAGCCAGAACATGGAGGGAAAAAGGCTTTTATGGGAGGAAGAAATGAATAAAGAAGGCGCTGTCTGGATTATGGAGTCACTGAATGGACAGAGGGGGTCATGAGTTGATCATAGGCTGGAAAAGGGAACAACTCGTGGGAAATACTAACATTTGATATTATTTCTGGGGCTAGGGAGATCTTGGGAGGATGATGGCCTTTTAGGTGTGGTGTAGCCCAGAATTCCACAAAGAGAAAAAAAGGATACCTGCCCCCTGCCCCCGCAAAGAAAGTTTTCAATTGAATACCAGTCAGACAGACAGTGAGCATAGAGCCAGGATCACAACGCAAGAATCTTTTCACTGCAGGAAACTTTCTCTCTATGCCTCATTTTGTAAGCAGGAAATAAAACTCTGGACTCTGGTCTCAACTCTCAAGAAATACTAATCCTTGATAGGTTCTCTCAGATTAGCATACCTTGGCTGCATTCCATTTGGCCAGGAGGTTCTCCTAAACAACTGGTGTTTTACTGCGCCGTGTGGACTATTATGCCATTTGTATGGCAAATTTTATCTATTTGGAACTTCCTTTGAACTAGGCATCTGTCATATGATAGGGAAGGTTAAGTGTGTTGGTCTTACGAGGTTCTTTTGAGCCACTGGGGTTCTGTCAACCAACTTAGGACACAGAGAAACAAAGATGTTAAGTGTATCTCTGTTGTTGAGATGGACAGTAGCTCTCCCCAGGAAGTAAGGGCAGGTCCCATGGTAAATCATGAGCTAATCACATAGGAAGTGACTCAGTTGAATAGTCTACAGCATGAGTAACAGTTGGCAGAGCGAGTGGATGAAGATGACCGTGATGAGTGGCCACTCCCCTGGCTGTAAAAGTAATGCAGGATCACTTCTCTGATTAGCCAAGAGCACATGCAAAGGGGAGTGTAGGCCATTTACTGATTCTGCCCACATTGAACTCAAAAATTGCCAACTTCAATAAAAAAAATTACCCCAGTTTTCATCTAATTCCCACATGAGAGTCTTAAAAGACCACTGGGAGGGATATCATATATACTATGATACTGCAGCCTTGGAAACACTTCCATCTCAGGAGTCATAGCTCATCTTTTCTTAATAAATCTACATTTGCTCTGCACATTTCTACCCATGGTTCCTTGTTCTTTTAAGACGTGAGACAACAAACTTGGAAGACACTGGCATAAGGTAGCTTTGGTGACTGTTAATTGTCTGGCCTCCTGACTTCCACTTGGTAAGAGCATCAAGAGCTGAGAAAGATTCCATTGTCACATCATTGTGATTTAGAAAATACTAAATGTGTACTGTCTCAGCCCCCCCACCCTCTACCCCGGGAGAATTTTAGCTAACTAGTCTTTTGTAAATTTACCATGGTTTACCTAAAAGTGCATTTTGTATTAATATAATTGTTTTTGTGTCATTTTGTGTTTAAAGCATGGGACAAAAGTTGTTCTTGAGTTCCTGAAGAAAGACGTAAACCACTGTTCTTGGCATGCATAATTAAAAGTGTGTGTGTGTGTGTGTGTGTGTGTGTGTGTGTGTGTGTGTAAGGGAGGATTCAGGACTACAGTAACACATTGGAACTATCATTTGTGTTTTCTCTCTATTTGACATCTAACTATAGAATTTGGAACTGAAGAAAAACTGGATGCACAGCACTTTACCTCAAGCGTAACTAAAATGTGAAATACTTGAAATGTTACTTTTGACCTTATAGGTAGGATGGGTGGTCAAAAAAAATCATGGTTCAAGATTTACAAAAGAGAGAGCTAATAATATCTTGCCCTTAAATGATGGGTAAATGGTTAGATTGTATTTCTTAAATGCCAAGAAAGCTTCTATTCTCTTTTTCTAGGAAAACTTAAAATGTAAATTTAGAGGATTAATTTTAGAAATGGCTGGAGTGGAGTGGAGTGCATGCTTTCTGGGATTTGCTCCATATATGTATGTGTAAGTACACGTGTTTTCAACGTAGAGATGGGCTAATTTTGCTATTAGAATAAAAAAAATTATCACGAAACATTAGTTCATTACTAGTAAACAATTCATTTTAAATAAATGGTACTGAGAGTTATAGAATATAATTGATAGAAATTCCCAACACGCCCCCACGGTTGGGCATGGTCTCAAATGCCCGGCGGGACACTTAGTCACTTCCACTTAGTTATTTCTGGTTCAAATGTCTTGAGTGACCCAGGACTCCGTGGCTTTATGTGGTTGTGTAAAGCGCACAGCGCAACCATGTGATCTGCGTGCATGCGTGGAATAGCCATGTGGGCCTGTGTGCACAGGCGCAGCTCAGCCTTTATAAGCCTGAGCCACAATTCCCCGGCCCCCTTCACACGCGTGTCTTTCCACAGGCCTGTGCACATCTCTCTCTCTCTCTCTCTCCTCATCTTAATAAAACTCTTGTTGGTGGATTCTGTTGTGTTTCGTGACTTTTCCTCGCAGGGTAAGAGTGCCGTTAAAAATCAGCAATAGTGCTCTGGCTAAATAGGACTATCACATCTGAGATACACTTATGACCTAGATGACAAAAACTATTTATAGGCATTGAAGCTGCTTTCAAAAATGTGCCATTTCCTCCGTGCTAGTCCCCCAGAGTTGAGTTGTAGTCAGGGATGGGGGAGGGGCAATTTATGTTGCCATCCACAAGAGGGGAGGGCTCTGATCCCTCCTGCACACTCGTCTGTGGGATGCCTCATTTCATAGGTAGAGAAACAGACAGGTAAAGGACCCTATAGAAGTAAATACCCCTCAATCTAAAATTTGGACCAGTCAATATATATATATATATATATATATATATATATATATATTTCCATATATATATATTTCCATATATATATGGAAAGCTAAGGGCACAGGATGACTCCGCAGATCCATTTCAGAGCCATCTTTCCCCTGATACATTCACTTTTGGACCTCACCAGGAAAGGAGAGGACGGGATAAAGAAAGAGACGTTTGGGTAAAAGGGCAGACTTTTTCTTCCCACTGCCACGTGATCACCGCACAGTTTAGAGGAGGACAGGGTTATTTCATTTTACAGGTTACAGTCAAGGGGAGTCAGGGCAGGAGCTCAAGGCGGGAACTGATGCAAAAACCATGACAGAATGATGCTCACTGTCTTTTTTACATAGTCCCGCCCCACCCTGCCTAGAGATGGCATGCCCACAGTGGGCTGGGCTCCCCTACAGCAATTAACAGTAAGGAAAATGCCCTATGGGACAGTCTGATGGAAGCAGTTCTTCCGTGAGGTTCCTGAAGGGTTGATCGCCTAATAGCCTCAGGCTGGCTGAGAAAATCAAGACAGGAAAGCTGATTTGACTAATAACACCTGTGGGCTGTTAGGATCCTGGAAGCCCCGGATAAGATCAGCTTACCTACGTCTGTTTGTCTCTACACGTTGAGACTGCAGAGGAACTGACCCAAAGCTCCTCTTTCCACCCCGAAGCCCCCTCTTCTTTTATTTCCAAGTCGCCTCCCGAACTAACAGTTTCTTCTTCCCAGGTGTCTCTAGGTTTGTGTCAAGTTGGCATTTGAAGCTAACTATGACACCACAGGAAGACCAACTAACCTTGAGGAGGTGGAGTTACCTATTCCCCAGTTCGGCTGAGTCAGACGGGCACGGTTTCCTAAGTAAACAGGGTCTCCCTTCCCAAAAGCTATTACCCCAGCGGCTCAGACCCTCCCTGCCTGTCTGTCACCTTCTGGATGATAAGCCAAGGAGAATGTGTCCCTCCTCTTCCTCTTCCTCCTCCAAGCCAGGAGCAGAGGGCAGATTTTTTTTTTTTTTTTTTTAAGATTTATTTATTATGTATACAGTGTTCTATCTGCATGTATCCCTGCCGACCAGAAGTGGGCACCAGATCTCATTTCAGGTGGTTGTCAGCCACCATGTGGTTGCTGGGAATTGAACTCAGGACCTTTGGAAGAGCAGCCAGTGCTCTTAACCGCTGAGCCATCTCTCCAGCCCCAGGGCAAAAAATTTTAAGAAGAGGAGAGAATACTTGCAGACTATTTATCTGACTAATATAGATTAATATCAGACTAGATTAATACCAAACTAGATAAAGAACCCACCACAAAACAACCCAAAAGTTGAACAGCAGATAACAATGAGAAAATGAGCCTGGTTTAAACGGCACGTACCTGGCATGCGCCTGAGTTTACAAAGAGATCCTTTTCAAAACAGAACACAAAGGGGGCATGGGAGGAGACTGTATAAATTATCTAAATAGACTTTTCTCCAAAGAAGGCTTATGATCTCCCAGCACCTCAGGACCTGAATGACATACCTCCCCAGGCCAGAGGTCACAACCCCCTCCCCAAGTACCTAACCCTCAGCATTTCAGGAGCAGAGCGGGATTTACTCCCCAGCACCACAGACCTCACTGGAGCTAGCTTGCCAGGTTAGAGACCACATCACCCTTCCTCTGGCATCCTAGTTCTGGCCTCGCAGGATGGAAGTGGAGTCCATTTCCCAGGACCCTCAGGATCGCAGTGGAGTCTGATTTGTGGGTAAGAGGTCATTTCTCCTTCCTGCCAGGAAAGATGGAGCTTGTTCTCAGCATTGCAGGATCTGAGCAGAGTTCACACCTGGAGTTAGAGGCTACTTCTCCCTTCCGTAGTCATCCCAACTCCCAGCATCTCAGGCCAGAAGTTCCATCTTTCTCATGCCATCCCTAGAACCTCTAGCCCTTCAGGACCCAGATATAACTCATATGCCCTGTATCTCAGGACCTGAATGAGACTTCCTACTACTGAGATTAGAACCACATCTTCTTCCCTCCAGCATCTTAACACAGATGCCTCAGAACCCACATGGAACCTATTCCCAGAGCATCAGGACCTGAGTGGTGCTCACCCCCAGGATATAGGTCACACCCTTCCATTATCCTAACACTCAGTGACCCAGGACCTATGCAGCACCCACTCCCCAGGTCTGAGACTACATCTTCTATCCTCTGGCATCCCAACCCACAGCATCTCAGGACCCATGTGAAACTGGCCACACAGCATCTCAGGACCCACGCAGAGCTTGCTCCCCAGGTGAGAGGCCTCTAGTATTGTATACCCCAACATCTCAGTATCTGAACAGAGCTAACTCCCCAGATTAGAGACTACACCTGTGCCTCCCTCCAACACTAACCTTCTCATCACCAGTACAGAGCATCTTCCTGCTCCCTGGGTCAGAAGTCACACCCCACCACCCTTTGCCACGATCACCTCAGCCCTGTTAGGACTAGGGTGGCACATCTGCCTACTTCTCAGATTAGAGGCCCGAGCACTTCCTGTGGCCCAGCTTCCAGCAACTCAGAACCTGCTTAAAGCATCTGCTCACATCTCAGGTCAGAGGCTGCAACCCTGGCAACCCATACTCTGTCCAATTCACACAGAGTACCCACTCGTGAAGTAAGAGGCCACACCTTCCTCTATCCAATCTGGGACCCACTCCCACCAAAGAGTCAAGTACCAAACCACCCCAAGACTGAACTTCAAATAACCCAGCTGAGCCTAACAAAAACAATTAACATCAAGCAAAGACTCAAATAAACACAAAATATAGAGGACCAGAACCCCACACCAAAAGTCGCAAAATGAAGGTTGTATAACTTGAATTGTAAAACCATAGGCAACACAAAAACCCAAGGTATGTTGTCTCCTCCAAAGGAACAGTAAGAAACCTCAATAAGAACAATTTAGATGGAATTCCAGACAAGGAACTTAAAAGAACAGTTGTAAATATTTTGAGAGAATTCCAAGGCACCAGAATGAAATTAAAGAGGACAGGAATAAATTCCTGAGTAAATTCAAGAGAACACAAACAGATGAATGAATGAAGAAGACAACTCAGAATATGAAAACAGAATTCAATAAATAGGTTGAAGTAGTAAAGAAAACCCGAGATGACATGAAGCTGGGAATGAAAAATTGAATGAGTTAAACAAAAGCTTAACAATAGAACAGATCACGTGGAAGTCGGAATGCCAGGGATTAATAATAAGGGACAGGAATTGGATCACCAAAGATAATGAAAAATTTAAAAAACAAAATACAGGGGCTGGAGAGATGGCTCAGTGGTTGAGAGCAGCGGCTACTCTTCCAAAGGACCCGGGTTCGGTTCCCAGCACCCATAAGGCAGCTTACAGCTGTAATTCCAGTTTCAGGGGATCTGACACCCTCAAACAGACATACATGCAGGCAGAATGCCAATGTATGTTAAAAAAAAATGCATGAATGGAACATACAAAATTTTTAGGACACCATGAAAAGACCAAACTTGAATTATGGGCAGAGAAGAATTCCATGTCAAAGGCAGAAAAAGTGTTTTCAATAAAATCGTAGAAGAAAATTAACCAAATCTATGGAAAGAGATGCCTGTCTAGGTATGAAACCTACAGAACAAAAACTGACCAGAAAAGAAACACCTCACATCATATTATAGTTAAAACATTAAATAAACAACACAAAGTTAAAACAGTGTATTGAAAGCTTTGGGAGAAGGAGCAACATCTTTTTCTTTTCTTTCTTTGTTTTTTCTTTAAGAAACATTTTTACACATAAAATAAAGTTCCCATTTTAAATCTTGATTCGTTTTATAAAAACAACAGATAATGTAAAAGCCAGCAGCAATAGATTCAGCAGACAGCATACTGTTAAACGTGCAATAAATTACTTCGCTCAAACATGACTAACAATTACTACAGACATTTTCGGAATCCTCAGGGGACTCCTACAGCCTTACTGTTGAAACCCAGAGACTTTTACAATTATCAAGTGCCATGGGCACTTGCCAGAGTCGCTTCTAGTAGAAGATAGTGTTGCTAGTGTTCGAATTTGTTTGAGGTATTATGTGGCAGTTTCTTCTGTTACTAAAACACTCCATCCTGCAAGGAGGCTTATTAAGACAGAGAGTCTCTCATTTGGACGCTTCAGTG